GTCACCTCTTACAAAATAAATTTTTGCTCACACAGCAGAAGCACTGGATGACTTTATAACCTAGTACCTTGAAAGAAACACAGGTTTGTTAAAGCTGTACAAGACCAGGAAATTACAAAGAGTAACCCTTAATAGACCTTAACATTTGGATGTCCAATTTTGCTTTAATATTCTTTTAAGCACAGAAATTTTAAACTTTTAAACATAACCTTAGCCATCACATTACCCCTTGAGTTATGCCCGAGTCAAATCCTTGACTCTGTGCCGGGTGCCTTCCATACCCAGACTTAATGAGCAGAGCTAATAGCTCCTAATTTATGTATCTGGTTAAGGCATTGGTGATGCAGGGCCAATCATAATCGGCAGGTGAAGGAGAGCCCTGGGCCCTGGGATGGCTGACAGCAGAGTTACTGGTCAGGAAGAATCAGAATGGCAACCATTTGTCTTTTCCCCCTTTAACGTATTTTTCTTTTCTGTAAGGCTAGGGTTTTCCAGAGCACAACCAAGTAATCTGTAATGGTTTCCAAGTGATTTGCATAGAAACAGCATTCCCCTCAGCCACACAGTGACATCCTTGCACTGCACAAATAGTCCATAGACCAGCAGACTCCTGTGCTGAAAACCCACTTGAGCTAGCAAAGCCATCTGTTCTTTGGTCTAGGCAATAGATCTTTTTTCTAAAATAGAGAGATCCAGGGTCATCTGGCACCAGCCCTAGGTTTTTGAAGTTAACGTCAGTCATTACTGTACCAGTGGCACTAAGGATGCTCCTGCTGTTGGTCCCTAAGCATATTATGAGGGGTGTGAAAGGGGGAATTGCATGTTTTCCCCTGAACACGGAGACTGGAAGGGCCTGTGTCTACGCACACATGTGTTTTCTCCCTACCGGACCATCATAAACACATATCCTGGGGAAGAGGGATGCCAAGATACGGGATATCAGGAATTGACACATTTGCCAAATAGGCAACCAAAGGCACAAACTATCAGCCTATGTAAACCGGTTTCAACCAGGAAGTAAAAGAAGGAATGCTCACCTGACAGAGTGGTGGCTGGGAGCTGTGAGACATTTATGACAAATTTGCATTTTCTCTTAAAGGGGGATCTATATATCACACCCAGGGACACAAACCCTCCAATGCCAGCGTCTCCTAAGACTCTGGTTCCACAGACAGAACCAAGGTCTTTCCCCAGAGGCCTTGTCTGGTGCTGTGAAGCTCTGCCACTTCCAAGCTCAGCCTAGATGCCCCTCCCATGCCCCACCCACTGGTCCCACCCAGTCCTGAAGAGTTCCTGCCTAGGGAGCCTCTGCTCCTGGAGAGACTCTTAACTCTCTTGGCCAACTACACCATGAAACCCCAGTTCTCAGGACACAACTGCACACCTCTGCAGCTCCAGCCCCTTTGTTGGAGACCTCAGCTTTTCCTCTGACTAATGGTGTCCCTGGGCAGGGTGGGGACATCTTATTCTCCTGGAGGAGAGGCAGGTGTACAGGGAACCCAATGATATAGATGTCCTATTCCAGTGGTGTTTCCCTATGGTTAGAGATCTTCACACTTCTGCTTCAAGGTGGGTTGTCCTCATCCAGTTTTAGCAGGTGAGAACACAGAATCACCCAGAGGCAACAAGGTTGAGCAGAATGGAGTTTGGTGCCCCAACATGATACAAACCACAACATTATACAATAATTGCTCAGTCATCTTTGCATGAGTGACTTATCAGAGCCAGAGACTTTGGTAAAGGTTAAACAAAACTTCAAGGAATTTGGGGATTATTGCTTAAGTGAGAGAGTTCCAAACCCTATACAAAACAATATACTCTAGGAACAGATATCAAATATAAGATTAGAATTACAATCAGCGTAAACAATATTAAGCAAGGAACATATGCTAAATGTTTTAATAAACATTCTATCCTAAGGAGTCTAAGTCTTGTATTAGAAATGGTTTGGCTAGATCATAAGAGGACAGTAACTATCACTATCTAATCTTCAACCCCATCGAAGGCCTGAGAGGGGGGATAATATTACTTGAGCAGGCAGGAAATAGCTTCCAAAGTGAGCAGTATATGACAGAGACAATTAGCTACCTGAACAATCACCCAAAGTCTCATTTTGCAACATTGAAGCAACCAAATTTGGCTATGGCCTAGCATAATTTACCGTCCATTTTCAGAGGCAGAAAAATTTTTCAAAACTGTCTTACCCTTGGCAAGATATGACAGTCCTGCTTATCCATTTCTGGATATCAAGTAACTTGTCAGTGGTTGAGGCATTGGCAGTTCCTTGCCCAAAGGCCAGTTTTGCCAAGAAGAAAACAAGCTCCAAGTGGAGTGTCTTTGGTACTCAACATTCTCTCGGGAATAGATTGGTGCTGTCAGAAGTAGTCATGTCTCATGTCAACAGAACCCTAAGTTATTTAAATGCCATGCTCCACAGATCCTTGAAGTGATTGAAGATTGCCTATCTAGACAGAATACAATCTCTATGTATCTAAAGAACCTAATTGATCTGACTGTATGTACAGCAAGCATGAACAACTATTGACCTATAATAATTGTAAGTATCTTTTTGATCAGAGGTAGGAGTAATATATAATGCAATATGAAAATATATCCTAAAAGTTGTATCAATATACAAAAGATCCTAAACAGAGATAATAACATACATATATACAATCTGACAACATAACTTTGTATAGGTGTACAAATAATATAAACAAAAGTAACAAATATAATTTGAACTTGTACCAATGTACAAAAACTATACCAATGTAAATTATCCATAAATAATAGCTCACAAGTATTCACTCTATTACCCACTATTACTATCCCCCCTTTAAAACAAACATAGTTTTCACCCCAACCCTCTACCTAATACAAGTAATAATCACCAACCCCTAAACAGTGTTCCCAACTCCATGGACAAACTTTTTTGGGATGGGCGTCGTCTTTTAGAATTGCTTCCCACTGTCATGGGGGCAATGTTCTCTTAATGGGATCCTGCAAAATTAAAGTGATGGTTAAGCTTCAAAACTACTGTCTAGTATAGTTGCAAACAATTTCTGAGCAGTCAATAGATAGTTTTTTTTTTTTCCTTCAAAGTTCTTATTTGGAGTTCTGGCCAGAATGTCATGAGAAGGTGCACCATTTCAGCAACTGGTACTCCAAAAAAGACATGGTCTTATAGTAGCACTGTCTGCATCATGATGTCATCTCAACTAGATAGAGTTGTTACTGTGGGGCCCCATCTTCTTCCTGGAAACTTCACAGATTACTGCAGAAAAAGGATCTGTAAGAAAATTTATTGTTCAACATGAAAAAACTTAAACATCATTCATATATACATACATTCAATGAAGAATATGATATAGACACAAAAGGCATAGGAAAAGTAAAAAATTTTTCTTCTGTCCCATACCAGATGGCTCCCAATGAGACAGAAACTCTGAATGTTCCTCTTAACAACATGTTTGGATTTAGAGAAGTACAGAGCCATTGTTCAACTCCAAAACCTACAGAATATATATATGTATATATATATATATATATG